GGCGCGCGCGCAGCAGCCGCGCGAAGGCCTCGGCGCGCCGCGCGCGCAGCGACAGCCCCGCCGCCGTCTCCTGGCAACCGCCCAGCGGCACCACGGCCGGGCCCGACACCGCCGCCACGCGAGCCATGACGTCAGCGGGCACCTGCGGGGGAACACCCCTGAGGGACACACCCCCTCGAGGCCCCGCCCCTTCGTGCACACGCCCCCTTGAGGCTCCGCCCACGGAGGCGCAGGCCCCGCCCCCCGCGGCCCTACCTGCCCCGCGCCGAAGGCGGCGCGCAGCGCGGCGCGCGGCGCCAGGAAGTCGCGGTGCCGGAGCTGCCGCGCGCCGCTCTCCTTCACCCAGAGCGCCGCCGCCGGCCGGCCCAGCGCCTCGTTGAGGGCCCGCAGCGTCGCCGCCACGCGCGGCCGCTGCTCGCCCGCCTCCATGCGCTCCCCCGCCGCCGCTTCCGCCGTCCGCGCGCTGCCGTGACGTCACGCCCGCCCTTCGTGGGCGGGGCCTGTCGGGGCGGCCGCCATCTTGGGCGCGGGCGGGCGGGGCGGCCATCTTGGCGGTTAACGGTCGCGGCGCCGCCGTGCTGGGCGCGGCGGCCATGTTGGCGGTTAACGGTGGCGGCGGCGCCGCGTGCTCCGTGCACTGCCCACAGCCAAGAGGTGATCTGAGACCCGCTGCTCGCACCAGACCAACTGCTGACTGTCCGCAGGGCGGGAGCGGCGCCACGGGGCGCCCGCCTGCCCGCTCACGGAGCCGCCGAAAAAGCTTTGGACAGACACGACATTCCCGCCGGCTCCACGGCTGCCCGCTCGGCGGGAGTGATCGTGTCATTCCAAAGCCGTCTCCTCGGGAGCGGGCCGCGGCGGGCGGGCGCGGGGGCGGCGGCGCGGGTAACGGAATCCCAGGGCAGCTGGGCGCAGCGGGGACAGCTGCTTTTGGGATTCCGTTGCCCGCGCGGGCGCCAGGGCTGCCCCGCGGGCGCTCGCGGCCGGGGTGGTGCCGCTCTCCCCGCTCAGCTCCGTCGCCGCGGGCTGGGCGCCAAGGGGAGGGTGGTGCCCAAAGGAAGCGGCGCCTGCAGGGCCGCGGCGGCTCCCTGGAACGGCAGCGGCCCCGGTGGAGGAGACCAGCACGGTACCCACCGGCCCGGTGCAGGCTCCAGCTGCGCTCAGCTCCGCCAGCTGCCGATGGGGAAGTGAAACCGGCCTCTCCCGGCGCTGGGCTGGATCCGCACGGGATCCCACTGGTGCCCGTGCTCTCCACGGGGCATGAACGGCTCCGGTTACCAGCACTGGAGGCCTTCCCATGGCCTGCGCCACACTGGGGATCGCTCCGGGCTGGCCGCGGGGAAGGGGATGCGGGAGCTCAGCAACCTCGCGCCCCCCAATCCCCACGGGAGTGGAGCCTTCCGGGGGCCAGCAGGAATGTGGAGCTGTGCTGTGAGGCACAACGGGACAACCCCGCCGTGCCCTGGGATGCTGGCTGTGCCGTGGGGTGCAGGCCGTGCGCGGCGGGCAGGGAGCAGGGCGGGAAGCCGAGCAGAGCGGATGCGGCCATCCCCATCGCACGCACAGGGCGGCCCCGTCCCCAGCAGGAGCCAGCGGCTCCCTGCACCCAAGGACGGGGCTGCCGCCAAGGACCCCGGCACGGCGGCAGGACACGGGGCGCCCCACGGCAGCGTGGCCCCCACGGGTGTCGCTGCAGCCGCGCGGTGTGGCTGCCCGGCCCGTCCCGGCCCCCGGGCGGCGCTGGCTGCCGCCTGCCCCGGGCGGCGCGGGCACGTGGCAGAGCGCGCCGGGCAGCGCC